TACTCACCACAAAGTTCAGACATGTTCTACCTGATGTTTGGTGGGTTTATTTAATAAAACACAGTGACACAGTAATAGTAATTGGATGACATTTTCAGCGCATATTCTTGCTTGTAATCGTATCACTGTATTCACATAACATTCTAACTTGCTTGATATTGTCTTATCCATGACAGTTTTTCATGTATCTAGCATAAATAATGCATCATCTCGACCGCACATGTTTCATTTTGATTCGATGAACAAAACTAGGTTTAGAAATAGGGGTTAACCTCAGAATCCGTGTTTATCGAATCACAACAAAACGCATGCCACCGAAGAGATAGTTATGACGATGTTTAATTCAGATATATGAAAAACAAGAAAAATATGGAATTATGTGCCACAGCAACAACTTGTGAGAAGCAGCAGGCAAGACAGGACTTCAGATGAAAGCAAAGAAGACAGAACTGATAGGAATACACAAAGAACAACAAACATCAATCACCACCACTGAGAGAAATCTGACGGAATTCGTCTTTTTCACTCACATGATCTAAGCGACATAGTTTCAGCAAAAGGCAGGCAGTGAAGTTGAAGATGTTGATAGCATCAAGAACCTAGTGGGGTAAGGGAAGCAAGCGTTTGCTATTGTGTTCAGATCTGCGGTATCCTACACAAAGTGAATCATTAGACTTTTGACCCTAATTCCATTTCAGTATTTGCTTCTAAATTATTCGGAGATTTAGGTTCGCTTTACCGGAGGCATTCCGAACACTCTACCACACACTTTTATCAACGAATGCGTGTATTAAAGAAGAGATGAATGGCTGGAAATGGTGGGCGATAAGTGACTCTAGGAGTTCGGTAAACTAGCCATGAACAAAATATACAGGCACCGCCAAACTCTGAGGAGGTCCTTGAGAGACGTCACATTGCCATTGAATGGAACTTAAATGGGAATTGGTGAGCTAGGGATACAAGGATGACGTGGATATTTTGTGAAGTAGCAATGAATACTAGTGTGCAGTTGATGAGTCACTGAGATGTGAAGACAGAGAGTAGAGTGCGATTGAGTCATGTGCGTAAAGGAGTGAATAATGAAACTTACAACTTGACTTAATTGTCTAACAATAACCTTTTACTCATCTTACTTATGATTTTGAGAATTCTTTTTCTTGAGCGTAAATTTATTTCACTTGACTTTGTACTTATTATTCTGCAGATCATACCACAAATAAATTACAAGTTATAACATTAACAAAAACATGATTCATTTCAAAATTTCACGCATCTTGAACTTCGTCATACATGTTTGAATAATTCATTGAATCTATATTCCATCTCTAATGTTTTTGAATTTGGTGTTTGAAGTATAATATGTATCGAAATGTGTCCTTATTTACATCATCAAATAACACTCTGAAAACAATAATTCTGTTTAATAAATTAGAATAGCGTTACTAGAAGACGAAGTTCATCTTGAGAAATGTGATGAATATGCAAAACGGTTTTCGAACAGTTTGTTTACACAAATATCTACCATTTCACTTTATACAAAAATGTAGAAATATACTGTCAAATAGAGCAAACAAAATGACGACTATATAAGTTGATTATAACGGGCATATTGAGGGTGGTAATTGACACTTGTCTTCATAAAATGATCCGTTATTTTTCACCGTAGTAGCTCACTACTTTCTGGTGTTTCTGAGAGGTTAAGGAAAACGTCAGTGGAAATCCTGCATGAATTACAAACAGAAATAAAATATACTGAACTGTATGTCAGATGAAGAATTGATATACCGTGAAACCTGATTTGTATAATCTTGCCTATTCCGAAAAGTTCATTGACAAATAGCGTTTTGAAATGATTATTGAAAGATTGATGCTTGAAGAGAAGAATATTATTTACAATATAAATATGCTGGGCATATACACAAAAGTTTGATATGGCTGTGTTCTCTGAGCTGGATAGTTAATTTGCGAATCTTCAAAGTGAAGTGTGTGCTGAAGATGTCGCCTAGTAGGGCGATGAAAGCTTCGCAAATTAACTTTCCGGCTCAGAAAACACAACCATATCAAAATCATCCACCTGAGCTACACAAAATTTCAAATAAAATGTTAGGAGTTCAAGAAAAGAAATGAAAGAGATCTGTCATAAATCTGCTACAATTCAGATCATGAAAATACTCCAGAAGTCACATTACACAAATCAAAATAAAAGGAATGCGCCTCTAGCGTCACAGGAGTATTTCCAGGGACCTTTAGCAAATCTAATCCGACAGTACAGCTTTAATGATAATTTACAGAAACAGCACTCTTTGCTGACCTATATCTAGCCAATATGTGTAACTTTCTCACTGATGCTTACGAACACTTTCCAGATGATTGGAGTTGTAAAACTGTGAAGAAGTATTCACATATCAAGTAAGTTGATTAGTAAGTTGTTACTAAATAAACACTGTGGTTGATGAAACCACATCAAAACATGTGAATTTTAATCAATTTACCACTCACAGAAGAGTGGGTTTGAGATAAATTTCATATCGCTTTGACGTAACGTGAATTTTGGTGTGATCGAAGAGGTGGAATGTACGAACGCATACTAACAGACGGCATTTACAAGGTAGCACTGAAGTATTCAAAGTTGGATGAAGCATTCTAAGGTTGACAGTATCCTCTGTAGGGGAATTTCTAGCGCGCTCAGTAACAGAACAGGTATTTGAATACAAATCCAAGTTTATGAGATGATAGAATAACAGTGTGTTATAAAAAATACAGAATTAGTTATTTGAATTATTCAGTTCCTTAGTTATACAGTTAAAGTTCACTAGTACAAATTATTATTATAATCCACAATAGAGTTCACTGCTGAAGACGGGTCTACTGGTAGTGCTGTGCACTGGTTGTAGAAAAGTCTTCGGATGAAGATAAAATGTCAGTCCATCTGGGGCATTCGAATTCCTGAAAGGATATTTCTTTAGAGAAATTCGCCGATAACAATGACTGTTTTCATCCCATTATTCATTTCAATCAATAGAGACAGATACATGAGACACCTACTGGCTTCAACTCAGATGACGTTTTCTGTAAGTTCAGTAATGGCTTCTCAATTAAATCATTAAGTGCAGAGAACGTAGTCATGTTATAAAAACCTTCAAATAAGCTACGAATCAACTCCATCATTTTAACTCGAATTAATTTCTTCATTTGAAATATGCATCGTTATTCAGGTAATAGCCTTCTAGAAGTAGGAAGATAGTTTATTGGAAATGAAAGAACTCGAAGATAACTAAGTGTACTTACTATTACCCTGTGTTACATACATACGTGCATACAAAAAACCACATGAGAACAACATACAAAATACGAAGATTATGTGACAAAAGTCATTTCATGTGGAGTGGAATCAATTTGAGAATAAAAGTGGACTACGGTCTCTCAATATGTGTAATTGTGTTGGTAATAATCAATGAAATCGAAACATTAAGGTGAAAATACATGTGAATGTTCTCAGAAGCAGTGAATCTCGAAACTAGTAGTTACAGTCAGTAAGTAGATTTCAGCGACATCTCACTTCTTAGTTGCTCACTTAAGGAGGAGTACTCATGTGATGATTTTCATTCTTACTTTGATCATATCCAGTTTACTTTCCGTTACTTTATAGATGCATATCAAAATGAATAGTTTAGTTCAGCAGTTAATGAAATTAGTTATTTTGAAAAATGCTTAGCTGTGGTATCATGTAGAATCACACACAACCAAACAAAACGATGCGACATAGTGCTGCTAGCTATATTCGGTATAACAGTGTGGAGGTGGAGATTGAAACCTGACGCTTTATTCAACTGATCAACCGAGAACCGGCTCAATACGATCGACTCGACACCTATCTGAGACATGTGGAGAATTCTAATAATCGCCCTGACAACAAACAGGGTAGAAGACAGTGGGAATATACAAATCGAGTTTCGAAGTCGTGTGATTATAATTGATATGTTCGAAACGTCACTCAGTCGATGAAACTATTCCACTTTCTGATACGTTCAATAATCAAACTGGTATGAGATGACTAACTCGAATAACTAAAAATACGTCAGTTGACAGGGGATGTTCTGAACAAGTTCATAAACGGATTGCTTATAAGGAGGGAGGAGATCATTCTTACTTCAACATCCAATTCCGTAGAGTGCTTTTTCCCATTTCATCATCACATAGCCGACTTATCACCAATTCCGTGGAGATAACTGGCATTATGTAATTCCCTGTCTCATCGAGATTGAAATCCTTCATATTATTTCCATCCTTATACCTACACCCATTTGACAATTACTTGATTCGGGGATTATCTATGAGAGAGGAGAATTATGTCTATCCATACAGAACAATGATTTCATGTGATACAAGCACATTCGAACTTTTTAATTTGTCCGACTTAGTAGAAGTCTGATACCACTGATATCATCCTTACATCTCTGCAATATCCAGTCTCCAGCCAAAAGAATTCACATAGACACATTGCGAACATCTTCATTGGCCTGAGTCACTCATTGTCAAACACAACATTTATCGTTCATGGTGTCACACACACATACACACGAGACTACTCATATCATTTGTAACACTTCATTGATTTCGAAAGCCTACGAAATATCACTAATGAATTATTATTCGTATGCTCAACTGATTGGCGAACCTTTCAAGCATATGTATTCAGGTGACGCATTTGCGCTCCACTGAAACCTTTCACAACTATGTATCCCTCTTCCAAAATTATATGAAAGTTCGAGTCTCTGAATCGACCATATTTCTCTGACAACGTAGATCGATCGTCACACTCACTTATGCTTGTGGTATGCTAGGCTGAAAATTGGATGACCGCTCTCACATTAAATCTAATCACTGACAAGATATTTGTTGTATTCAGAAAGGGTAAATCGTCTTTTGACCACTGTATCACTCCGCTTCTTCTTCGTCGCCTTCTCAGAAATGTTGAAGTGTAGATACAGTTTGAAAAACAGTGATATATTTGTACATGTACATTTGATGGTGTTGATGTTTACAGGTATATTTTGTTTGTTTTTCTTATAGCAGAACACTGAACACAGTGTCAGTGTCTGTCCAAGTAATGACAAACTTCATATGAGAAAGAGGACCAATGATTATCATATCGTCATCATAGGGAGAAAGAAATCACAAAAATGAGAATAAATCTGAAGACGACTAAAGAGTGACATAGTCATATTTAACTGTCTACCAGAAAAAATAAACCGGGAGAAGCATTTCACTAAATATCCGTGTTATTTGTTTCTTTGAAGAACTTTGCTAAAGTACTTTCGAGAATGCCGTACATGCTGATCGTACAAAGCCAGATGATGAAAGCTGTGGTGAATTCTACTGCGATGAAATCCATCCACCAAGCGATCAAGTCATAATTATTGACACAAGTGAACAATAACTGCAAAGTAGAGAAAGAGAAAGATTATTGACAGAGATGAGTGAATACAGGCGATCATCTCAAGTGTACAGCAATTCATATTTCACCGTAGTAAATTAATTATAATAATCTAGCCAATGTGATAGGATTGTTTTCATTTGATGAAATATAGGCACCTGAACCAATGAAGAATTCTCAACACATTCACTGTCGGCTTACAGATCATACTTGAGCAGATGATTCTAAACTTATTTGTCGATTAAACGTAGGCGGTAGTTTAATAAGAACTATTTCTCGAACAGTTTCAGTCTTTCAAATACATCTGGTGATATGCATCACTTCTAGTTTGATTTACTGTCTCAATTTGCTTGGATCTTATTATCTTTTATCCTCTAACCAATAAGACAAATTTCCTCCAGGATCATTAACAGACTCATGGATTGGTGATAAATCGAGACTAATGTCTGTCTGTTGTCAATATTGTAGTGAGAATTCAGTTCACACCTTGAAGAAGATTTCAGTTGCAGAATGATGGGTCCAGTATGTCATTATTCATTTTATGATTTGTCAGTCTCACATGCACAGTGAAGTTGTTGGAAATCCCTAAATGTGAGTGCGTACGGCTGCTGAGGGACTATGAAATCATTGACAAATATCATTCAATCTAAATAATACAAGCTGCCTAATAATCCAGCCATTTCCCACACACACACAACCCGAATTCGTATGATACAATCACTAGGAGCTAGTTGTCTAATTATTCAGAACTCGCATAAATTCGAATCATGACTAATACATCTCAGTGAAAAGCGTGAATCTACCATAATTTCAGTGATTTAGAAATCCGTCAAGTGCAACAGTGTACAACGTCATCTACTCTGAAAATGCACTCTCAAATATCGTGCCTCGTGATGTAATATGAACACAAATCGACTCAGCAATACTGTGATTCACACTGCAATTCTGCGACTATCAAATAACTGATGTGATTCGTGTAATTTACTCGTCAAAATAAACATGGTTGATACAACGATAAAATAATAAACTTACGAAGAGTATGAATAATATACAGAAAGCTACTGCCAGAGCTAAAATTATCTGCGAGGAAAATACGAGGAGAAAGAAATAAATCATGAGGGAAGAGGTACACTCAAGCTTTGTTAATCTATGCAAATTACAACATTGACATATCTACTGATCTGAGATCTGTGGACATTGACTATTATCGAAACATGCTGACAGTTAAATCACACCTGTCAGGGACACTGGCTGCATGTAGTGAGGCTGAAATATGCGAATGTATATCATTCACTCAATAAATATAACAACTGCATCACTTCACATTTCTTACCTGACAACAGAAATGTCATTATTCACTGAGCCACTTCGACTACAGTCGCATCCCTGCTAGTCCAATATATATTCCGCGGAATGTGACAGTCACACCAGAGAAATGTTGCCAAATGAGCTATATTCCATATGTATACGTGACAAGGAAATTGACGACGTTAGGTGCTAATATATCAAATCGTTCTTCACTCTTCCAATCAAAATGTAGAATTCGAAAAGACAGCATGAACGACAAGTGTATCAGGATGAAATGATTTCGTTCATCCTCTCACGCCTTACCCTCCAGGTGCCTAAAACCTGATCCATTCAAAAATATGGAGTATATGGAAGATTTCATGTAGTTGTGAGGCGATGATAAACAGTTGTGGATGGGAACTATTACTGACATTATCCCGAAATGATGTAATCAGTTGAATATGTCCAATATTCGAGAGTGTTGACTATTTATAGGATGACCAGTAGGATATTCTTGAAACCAAACTCACTGTAAGCTGTTTTGAGTGTTAACAATATTTGACATGCATCAAAATGAGGATGCAATTGGTTACCTAACTAGCGAAAATGACCCTTCATAAACCAGCAGGTCAGAAGCAGTCAGACTGACTTTGAAATGAGAAAGTGGTATCTTCTGGAGTGAACAAGAGGCGTCAGTAGAGAAACCATGACATGATTGACATTCTACTACTTGGCTTTGTGAGTTTAATGGGCAGGATAGTTCAAGGTCTAACACTGGCTATTTTTGCGCACATAGTTTTGATTTGTATTGTTGGATTGAGGAAATTGGAGCAATGATGGTTTCCGCTGTCAGTTTTCGCCTAATATTCTTTAAATACAAATTTCATTATTCGAGGAATTCGTCCCTGATGCTCCCATCAGTTTTTCCTTGTCACCCCACTAGGAGACACTAGGAAGAGACTGTGAAATGATAAGAGCAACGTTAGTCTCAGTGTGAACAGTGTTCATATAATGCACAGAAGTTTCAGTGGAAAGCATCGCATAATAGTTTCCATTTGTCCAGGATCTTTAAATACAGTAGTAAGTGACAGAAGATGGTGAGACACATGGCTGTCTGGCTTAAAGCGCACACCGATTCCTTATCAAATCTCTTCCTCGTTTCATACACGAAATGACGTCGTCTCATCATGTAATACTTGCTGTCCCTGCTTCGCTCTTCCTCACAAGAGGAATCGAATGAGATTCCAAATTGTGAAATTCATACTGGGATTCGCATGCAGTGGGATATTTCTGAATGAAGTAGAGATTTCATATCTTTTGACAAATAACATACAAATAATTTATGCATTATAGACATTAATTCATGCAATTACTTGTTGTTCGAAGAACACAGAGAAAATGATCAAAATGACTCCCACAATCGCAGAAGTCCATGCCACAGAGTTAAACACTACCAACCCCTTCTCATTCATTCGAGGCAAGAGCAAAGCCGTCACAACTATTGGAATTTCCACCACAAGTATACAGGCCAGAGATATGAGTCCAGCTTTCAGTCCAACAGGTGACAAAATATCAGCCAATACCACAGACAACGTTGCGATCTATGACAAAGGAGAAGGCGAATTAATAACATGTGATCACACTGGATAGATTCATATGCATATATAAACACATATCTACAATGACCACTGAAAAAACAGTAAATTCTCAACCCTGTATAGACAAAAAGATGAGCCACATTCTTATCACTCACAATCACTCAAAATAAACAATTCGTTCGAAGTCACTGTCATTCTGTGAACCATGGATCATCCTAGACATGTCGACATGAGTTACCTATGCAACCTGCAGTTAGCTGCACTGGCCGACTAATTACCGCCTGACTACTAGAATGACTAAGCCTATAGCAGTTCGGAAAACGCTTCATCTGATTTTTCACGAATCTCTTTAAGATGTCTATTGTTTCGACTGTTAGAATGAAGCAGACCGTCGATTGTCCTATGCCAGGTCATGTAGAATCAACATATCGAGACCTCCAGTTTATTCATTCCTTCGAAATGCTTCCTGTTATACAGGAAGTTTATTTTAGATGTTTCTTCACTGAATTATCTAATGAAGAGAATCGTCAAAACTCTCATCGTGAGTCATGTAGAATGAACATTTCGAGACCCCCAGTTTATTCATTCCTTCAAGCTTTCCCTCAGTATACACTTCCTGTTCATGCAACAGGTGGATTTACGTTTCCACATTTACGAGTTTATAAGAGACAACTTGCCTCAGCTTTCAGGTCCTTTCTCATGCGCAAGTAGTAGAACTATCCAGTCCTTGTTACATCGCCAATGTGTGAAATAATGAAAGTGGTGTGTGATGTGAATCACAGGGATGATCACTTTGACGAGGTAGTAGAGATGATATCCATTCAGTCAAAATCAAGTTAGCCTACATCCTCAAAATTTATTGTATGGCTTATAATGTGACACTTACCACAATTGAAAACATGACATAGACACCAACTCGTCGCGATCGAATTTTTTCCACGAAGAAGAATATCAGGAACACAAGGAAACCGACTCCTCTGAAATAAATTCACAAACATCAAAAATTTGTTTCAGATACTACACAGTTAATCAGAATTGTGCGTTATTTTGTTTGGTGAATCACAGTTCATAATAATCAAGTATGCAGAAGTTGCATTTTGAATAGAAAGGGTTTTCAGTGTGATGGTCTCGGTATATCGATGCCATTCTTCGTTTGCAACGTCAGTTTCGCATTTGTCAAACTCTCCATTGGCACAGTGCTTCATTCAACCACTCGTTCTTTTTCACTGTAGGGGGAAATCTCTGAATTGATGATATGGTAAAAATCACCGTTTCCTAAGGAACGGAAAACAAAAGTGCTACGGTATCTGGCTTAATCTCTCTGCTGAGTCGACAAATGAGTGAAAACAACTCGTCGCATTTGGTTCACAAATGACATAGGAATATGAAAGCAAGTCAGAGGAGACCTCTGTATTTGAAATTTTCCCTTTCTCAAGAGCCCTTGAAATGCGGATAATTTAACTTAATGTTAGACAAAGCGAACTTAGTTAAGGTTGTTGTGGAATCGAAAATATTTTATGATCAGTAGAAGGGAAGTTGTTGCAATACAAATTATGATCAATATTTGACTGAATATAAGTTGCCGAAAACACAACAGAACTCAGACAAATTATTTCAACCTCATCAGGGTGAGAAAATATTCATGGAAAACCGTAGCAGTGAATTCTGAGAAATAGATGACAAGACAGAATGAAGGGACAGTTTGCAAGGAGTGAAAGCTGAAACAAGCAAAATGTCCGAGTTGTTAAACGAAAAAATCGAAGTGTCACCGCAGAGATAACCTGCATCAAAATGTTTCCATCGGTGTAGATCTTATGAATTTCAAAATATTTACAAACCCGGTCATCCATAACATTTAGCTACATTACCTACTAACTCTCTCATACACAACCTCTCAACATACACTCCTTGAATACCGAAACCATATGAAATGCAAGCCATATAATGAATGTAGAATTTGTATGAATCTAGGAGCAGAACTGCATCAATTTATATTGCATGAGATAAAAATATTTCTAAGTCTTCTTCATTCACAAATTTCAGACAGTGGACTATGCGTTCGATGTCTTTCGGGCACAGGCGAAATTATTAATTCACTAGAAGTGTGTTCAGATCAATCAGTGTTCAAATATTGAGGAGATTTCTCACGTGAAACAGATGGTATTGTTATGGATTAACCAGTATCTCCATCACTGACCAATCTGTGCATCCACTCATTGGAAACAGTTGTGATTATGAGATGCTCTGATCGTCCAAGTAATGGAGATAACACCTTTGGACATCATTAAATGTAGAGTCTCACATGAAAATCTTCACCTGATAAACAACATACCAAACAGTGTTAAACCTCAGAAATATGTTGAGCCGTTTTCCCACATAACTGATGTTTCTTAACTGGTTTGTCGGACGACAACCAGATGATAGACAAAAACCTAATATCATCTGAAAGTGAAGACATTCGGACAGATACCCCAGTTATCATTGTCATTATTATTCGGCGAATCTCTTTGTCACCAAAGTGACTGAAGTTAAGACCAGAATTAACTTGGCTGAACAACTATTACCTGGAGTTGAAGTAAGCCACAGAAGGTTGAAACTGGTTGTAAACTGACTTAGGTTGATCCACTGTCATGTCGTCAGTAGTCTGACGGACGCGGAAAGTGTAAACTAATAAATCAGGCCTCCTCCATGGTTATTTATAAATAAACTTGGTCCTGTGTGGCTAGTTCGACTGAATGTCAAAATATACACAAAATTTCCCAGTGCATGTCTGAACATAATCAGACATGGTTATCAAGATGAGAGAACGATTCACTAAGATCAAAGCAAATGATTACATATGTAGACACTGAGAAGACATTTATTGAGTACACTATATCTGGAAACCGTTTCACAGAATATTAGTAACGCAGAAGTCTCCAGTAGTCGTGGATATCACAATAATCAATACCATAGGTCAAGAATCAGACTTAAGTTTCGTCATGAATATTATTCATATGGTGACATGATGCAAACCATTTGTCAAGATTTTATTCGATAATTTCGCTAAAACTTCTGATCAGCTGATATCTCAAAGTACGAAAAAGTCATTTTTATAGAAATAATAATTAACAAATCATTCCAACATCTCACTCGACAGATTGGAAATTGTCGGAAAGAAAGCATCTAACCTATGAATAATAGGGTGCATCTGGGCCTTAATATCGCTGACAAAATCAGTACAAGCAGTTCCATGAAGAGTCTCTTTTTGATGAAGTAATCAAACGTATTTGACTGAAAACAATAAGATTCGCGTTGAACGATACACATATCTGGCTCCACAAGAACAGGTGAACTGACGTGTGCACATAGAAGTGGTCCGATGTGAGATTTCGCCCATTAGGCTCCTCCACACCAGTGGCCAACTGACGAACAGCAGGCTTATCGTTTCTGTGAAGAAAGTTCTCCTCGCTGAAACCGGAATTCCTCTCCTAACAACGTCAACAATTAGGTTGCCGTAAACGTCAATCTAAGCTTTCGTATCTTGCACAGATTCCATGTTCAGCCTTTGCATTTTTGGCTTGACATTCTCCACAATAAGACTCAGTGTATGTCCATTTAGGAAGATTTCTTTCTGAAATCTCTAATTCTTTTTTCAGAGCATTTGAGCTACAGATGTGTCTGATGCCAGTGGCTTGAGGAATACTTTGCCTCAATTCACGTTCATTTGATATTCAGCTGTGGAAACTTATCAGTTGGCTGTTCAATGTTGCTCTCTTATTGATCGATCCTTTAAAATATCCGTAGGCTCTTCGTGTTAATTCAACCTCATGAAAAGGCAGTGAAGATTGATCTACTGAAACAGTGAGCCTTGTTGGTGGACTGCAGCTGTTGAACATGTGTAACACTACTAATTGTGACCATGTCTATCATGAGGGATAATAAAAATATCATCCTTTTATCTAGGACACAATTGAAACCTACCAATATTTAACTTACGTGGACCGATCCTGTGACTTGTCATGATACAGGCTGCTAGCAACGAACCCATGTGAGATCTCATTGAAATCCAATAATTTTGTCTGTAGAAGATGTCGTTGTTCGTGAATGGAACATAGTATTTCTTTTGTTTCCATGTGCATGCATATCAAAATTTACATAGTAACATTTCTCATCCCAACAGGTATTTCTGTCGACCTTATTCTACTTCTTATATGCACTCATTAATATAACCGACCATCTTGTGACGATTCTTCCATTTGTTAACGTTCAGTTTAGTCGTTCCTTGTGAGTAAACTACTGATGAATCTTTCTTAATGCGGCTGTTCAAGCACAGAATAGCAATTCATTGAAAAATGACTCCACTGAATCGCTTGTGTTGATTTTGTCAAAGATATGACAACCCAAATGCACACTATTATTTATACCTTAGACGATTTACCTTCCATCATTTCAAATCTGTCGAGCCAGAGGTTTGAATTGTGTATCAATAATTATTTTTACAAATACGGACTTTAATTACGTTGAAATATCAGCTGATCAGAAGTTTTAGAGAAATATTCGAATAAAATCTCTACAAATGGTTTTCATCATGTTACCATATGAATGATATTCATGGCGAAAATTTAGTTGGATTCTTGACATATGGTATTGGTTATTGTAATATCCACTATTGCTGGAGACTTCTCTGTCACAGATTTTCTGCGATCGTGTTTCTACGAATACTCTAATCTCAAAAATGCATTCCAGTGATTATTGTATGAACCGATTGCTTTTATATCTATCCTTGGAGCTTAATTACACACTTTACTGAAATTCAAATTTATTAGCAAAATGTCTAATGGATGATCTTAATACAGATTAACACCAGACTATGCCAGACCTTTGGGCCTTAATATAAATTAGAACTCCCCTTTTTCTGACAATTCAGTAAATACTAATTTAGTGATCGAGTGTGCTGTGAAGTGGATTACTGCTCTGTATCACAAATGAATTCCACTTGTCAAGGTGTGATGAATTCAATCGAACATTCGATAATTAATGTTGAACAGAGAACTTACAAAATGGTAAATTTTATCCAGAAATTCGTTTTGAAGAATTCACCAATCACGTTCCTACAACCAAGAGAATATTTCATCGGAAAATTTTATGTATTCTTACACGAAGGTAAATAAGAGGACAACACCAGCTGTCACCATTACCATAATAAGCGTATCTATTAGGATCTAAAAATAAAATTACTCACTCTTCAATCCATTTGCATCTTACCCAAATATAGAAACGTAAAGGAGTTCGCTGTAGCCTTTCGTTCTTATATGTGGAATTGTCATACAAATCATAAACGGAAGACATTTTTCAATGAGCTGAAATTGATAACGAAAATTATAGATGACAACGGCGCAGAAGTAGCTTAATCACCTCAGAATATGCATGATGAAAATGGTCATGAAGATTCGATTTACGAATATCTCAAGCGAAAATATGGTGTGGATATGACTGTCAGATTATTTGAACATAATTCAGCTTCCAAAACAATTGGGGCATACACATGTTTGCGAATGTTGATGAGTTGGAGTCAGTGATCATATGGAACAGTGTGCTCTAAGACATTGAGTGGGTTGGAGAAAATCTCATTTGTCTTTCTCAAACACGACATCAACTTTGAGGAAACAGCCTACTGGAGTTTCTCTTCTGCATCATCAGAGATAAAAACTGGTTTCATTTGGCCATATATACAGAGTCAATATATGCATACAAGCATCAGACGATGACACCTTGCCACAAGACTGGGGAGGATAAATGAGAACATCAGTTTGCTCTATCACACATCAGAGAATTCTGAGTTTATTAGACATCTAGTCATCACACACAAACACATTCCACATTGATTAGATCCATAAAACGAAATAAAATGTGATTGAGCGTATTTTCTATATTCATACTCAAGTGAAATATCTCGAACATGATCAAAGTCAGACTAAAATCGTCACCTTACTATTCATATTTGAGCAAACTTAGTAATAAATCAAACAAAAAGACAGCAAATGAGAGAAGAGATGCAGCTTAAATTCACTTACTTCTTGTACCTCCGAGCTTCGAAATTTAATGCGTTCAAGAATATTTTCACGTATTTTCTCATTTATACATATATATTTCGATTTCTGTAATGATTATTGACGTATTTTTACATATTGAAGGATCATAGTCCATTCTCAGTCTAAATGTGATTCCACTTCACACAAAATGACTTTTGTCACATAATCGTCTTATTATGCATGTTGTTCTCGTGTGGTTGTATGCAAGTATGTGTGTAGCATAGGGTAACAGTAAGCACATTTAGTTATCTAAGAATTCAGTCAGGAGGCATATACTAATCAATTAGTGTGAGAAGACTATTGACCGAAGAATGACGCTTATGTCGAATGGAAGAGGCAATTTGTGTCGACATAATGGAGTTGATTCCGGGTTCATTCACAGGGTTCTCAACGTAATCGTGTTCTTTGAGCTTGGTCATTTAATTGCGAAGACGTTATCAATTTGACAGAAAAAAGTGTCTCATTTTGTCTCGCTTTATTGATTAAAATAAATAATAGGGTGCGAGCAACCGTAGTTATTCTCGAATTTCTCAAACACTCGAATGGCCGACAATGACTTATAGTAATTATTTCATTCCGAACACGTGGTATGGGTTAAGAGTGTATCTGGTTTATTGAATGATCCCAACAAAACAGTGGAAACAACTTTGAATCGAATTCCTCTGTCTCATGGACTTGTCATAATCTGAGTACATCGTGATGAAATCGGGAAGGAAAAGCTTGAGGCTAAGCGGAGATATCGTTTGGGTGATTTCATTTTCAGAAGTGGGACAATTGCACTTTCATGGATCAATCGGAATATCTAGTATTAACATTATTTGGTTGAGAAGAGTTACCGAGAGTTAGAGATAGCGAGTAGGGAGAATGATACTTATTGACTTGAAATTTACCATCGTCTGTGGTTTAAGGAGGTGACGGGTGACAAATAGCTTTGATAATCGCATGGAAATAGAATTAATAGTTGCTGTATAAGAGGTAAACTCGGAATCATGAAACGAATCGTTGGTGTTCGTGAATTCATTTCAGAGAAGTCGGTCTCCTTGTGTTTCTTCTCTCCGTATTCGTGTCAAAAATTCGACCACAACCAATTGGTGTCTATATCATGCTTTCATATGCAGTAAGTGTCATTTTTTATCACTTCTAAAATTTGTGAGGATTTAAGCTAACTTGTTTTTAACTGAATGAATGTCATTTGTGGTGGAATGTGAAAGCATTCACACCCACGAATGCCTCGTCAGAGTGATCATTCCTGTGATTCACACCACACACCACTTTCATTTTTTCACTTATTGGCGATGTAACAATGACTGCGTGGTTTTACTACTTGCGCATGAGAAAGGACCAGAAAGCTAAGACAAGTTGTCTCTTAGAAATTCGTAAATGTGGAACCTAAATCCACTTGTTGCATGAACAGGAAGTGTATACTGAGGGAGATCTTGAATGAATGAATAAACTGGAGGTCTTGAGAAGTTGAATATACATGACCCGTTATTAGACAATCGACAGTCCACTTCATTCAAACAGTTGAATGAAAGAACATCCAAAACACATTCGTGAGAAGTCATATGAAGCTGTTTCTGAACTGAAGTGATATTAACATATTGACAGACACGATTAGGACATCTCAAGTGACTCTGCCTTTGATGTGTTCCATCCAAGAGAAGAACATGGAATGCCACCTCCGAAATTCAGATTATGATTCCATTTAAGAAGAAAGAACATCATTAGAATTCCTCGTCATCATCCTCAACGATGGATGATGAGGTCAAAATATTTTCAACTGTTGTAGGCCTAGTCATTCCAGTTATCAGGCGATAATTAGTCGGCCAGTGCAGCTAACTGCAGTTTGCAGAGGTGACTCTTGTTGACATGTGTAGGGTGATCCACAGTTCACGGGATGACAGTAACTTCCAATAATTTGTTTATTTGTGATTGATTGTGAGTGATGAGAATGTGGTTTATCTGTTTGTCCATACAGGTTTGAGAATTTACTGTATTTCTGTAGTAATTGTAAAGATGTGTGTTTATATAACTGTCTATGAATCTATCCAGTGTGATCACATGTTCTCATTTCGCTTTCCCTTCTGTCATAGATCTCACTGTGGTCGATGGGCTTGGCTGCTCTTTTGTCACCTGTTGGACTGAAAGCTGGACTCATATCTCTGGCCTGTATACTTGTGTTGGAAATTCCAATAGTTGTGACGGCTTTGCTCTTGCCTCGAATGGATCTGAAGGGGCTGATAATGTTTTCCTCGATCGTATTGTTTTTAGCGATTGTGGGAGTCATCGTTTTCTATGTGTTCTTCCAACAACAAGTAATTGCATGATTTAATGTTTATAATGCATAAATTATTAACCTAAGTTATTTGTCAAAACTTATGAAATCTTCGCTTCATTCAGAAAAATCTCACTGCATCCGAATCCGTGTAATAATTCCACACTTTGGAATCTCATTTGATTCCTTCCCTTGAAGAAGAGAGAAGCAGGGATGGCAAATATAACAGGATGAGATGACGTCATTTCGTGTATGAAACGAGGGAGAGATCTCATAAGGAATTGGTTTGCGCTTTAAGCCAGACAGCTACGTGAGGCACGATCTACTGTCACTTACTACTGTGTATAAAGATCCTGGACAATAGGAAACTCTGATTCGGTGATTTCCACTGAAATATCAGTGCATTATATGAACACTGTTCACACTAAGACTAACGTTGCTGCTATCATTTCACAGTCTCTTCTCCGTCGACTACAGCCTCAACAGTACGAACGTATAAATCACATGAAAAATTTCAAAATACTTCTATTGCGGTGACAAGGAACAATTGATGAATGTATCGGCGACGAATTCCTCGAATAATGAAACATTGAGAGAATATTAGGCGAAGCCTGCCAGGGGAAACATACATTGCTCTGATTTCCTCAGGCAGCCACAATGCGGCGATTCCAATCAAATGTATGTGAGCAGAAAAAGACAATGACAGACAGTGAACTGGCTTGCCCATCAAACTTACAAAACCAAGTAGTAGAATGTCAATCATGTCATGTATTCTCCACTCACATCTCCTGTCCTCCCCAGAAGATTCGAATTTCTGATTTCAAAGTCAGTCTGATTGCTTCTGACCTGCTGGTTTATGACAGGTCATTTTCCCTAGTTAGGTAACCAATTGCATCCTCATTTTCATGCATGTCAAATATTGTTTACATTTGAATGAGCTTACAGTGACTATTGGGCATATTTAACAGCTCACATCATTCCGAGATAATGTCACTAAAAGTTACTATCCACAACTGCTTATCGTCGCCTCAAACCTACATGAAATCTTCCATGTACTGGATATTTTTGGATGGATAAGGTTTCAGCCACCTGGAGGATAAGGCGTGAGAGGATGAACGAAATCATTTCATCCTGGTACATTTGTCTTTCATGCTGCCTCTTCAAATTCTACATTCTGATTGGAAGAGTTATGAGCAAATTGATATATAAGCAGGTAACCTTGGCTATAGTCAATTGCCTTGTCACGTATGCGTATGAAATTTGGCTCGTTTGGCAAGGATTCACTGGTGTGACTGTCACATCCCACGGAATATGTACTGGACTATAAGGGATTCGACTGTAGTCAAAGTGGCCTCGTGAATAATCACATTTCTGTTGTTAGATAAGAAATGTGAAGTGATGTAGCAGTTGTTTATATTGATTTAATGATATACATTCGCATATTTTAGCCTCACCATATGCTGCCAGAGTCATTCACAGGTGTGATTCAACTGTCAGCATGTTTCAATAATAGTCAGTGTCCACAGATCTCAGATCAGTAGATATGTCAATGTTGTAATTTGCATAGATTAACAAAGTTTGAGTGTACCTCTTCCCTGATGATCTATTCATTTCTCCTCATATTTTTTCACGCAGATAATTGTCACTGTGGCAGTACCTTTCTCTATATCATTCATACTCTTCGTAAGTTTGTCATTTTATCGTTGCATCAAACATGTTTATTTTGACGAGTAAATTACACGAATCACATCAGTTATTTGATAGTCGCAGAATTCCTCTGTGAATCACAATATCGCTTAGTCGATTTGTGTTCATATTACATCACAAGGTACGTCAACGTATCCTCGATATTCGATAGTTTATTTACAGTGTGGATGATGTTGTACACTGTTGCACTTGACGGATTATATGCTTTTTGTCACTGATTTCATGTTCCCTCACCATGCATACGCAATTACATTTAGGGATTTCCAACAACCTCACTGCACATTTCAAACTGACAAATCATAAAATGAATAATGACACACTGGAACCGTAATTCTGCTCATGTATGACCTGAAAGCCGACAGTGAATGTGTAAATAATTCTTTACTGGTTCAGGTGTCTATATTTCATCATATGAAAAAAACCTCATCACACTTGCTTGATTATTATAATTAATTTAATACGGTGAAATATGAATTGCTGTACACTTGAGATGATCGCCTGTATTCACTCATTTCTGTCAGTAATCTTTCTCTTTCTCTACTTTGTAGTTATTGTTCATTTGTATCGATAATTACTGCGTGATGGCTTGGGCGATGGACTTCATTGCCGTAGATTTTACCATGGCGTTCATCATCTGGCTTTGTACGATCAATTTGTTCCGTCCTACTCGAAAGTAATTTAGCATTGTTTTACAAAGAAACAACATACACGGATAATTTGTAAAATGCTTCTTCCAGCCTATCTTTTTTGGTGGAGAGGTGAATAGGACGATGTCACTCTGTAGGCATCTTCAGTTTTATTCTCATTTTTGTGATTTCTTGTTCCCATTGATGACGATATGTTAACCATTGTTTCTCTTTCTCATATGAAGTGTGCCATTACTTGCACAGACATTCACACTGATATTCGTAATCTGTAATAAGAACACAAACTGTCTTCTTTCAAAATAACTAATTTAATTATCTACTGAACTAGAATATTCATTTTTGATTTGCGTTTATCGATTAAAGTACACTGGATATGATCAAAGTCAGAATGAAAATCATCAGATGAGTACTCCTTCTTATGTGTGCAACCAACAAGTTATATATTACTGAAATTCACTTAGCTGTTAGCTGAGAATTTTCGTGCGTTCGAGAATATTCACAACTATTTT